TCACCCACCCTCACCCTCCAACACCCACCCTCACGCTCCGCCACCTCCAACACCCCACAACACTTCATAACTGTGCACCATCACCCTCCAACACCCACCCTACCCTCCAACACCCTCCCTCCACTCCAACATCCACCTCACCCTCCAACACCCACACCCTCACCCTCCACCTCCCTCACGCTCCACCTCCAACACCCACCAACACTTCATAACTGTGCACCCTCACCCTCCAACACCCACCCTCACCCTCCAACACCCTCCCTCACCCTCCAACACCCTCCCTCACGCTCCGCCAACATTTTATCCCTAAACTTGAAGCCATTATGTATGTAGACTTTTAAAAGATGGCGGCCCCTGGCGTGTGTCATAACATGTGGAGCATTATAGAGTTTATCCCACTCACTGTGTCTCACTCATTGTATCCCATTTACTGCATCCCACTCACTGTGTCTCACTCATTGTATCCCATTTCCTGCACCCCACTCACTGTATCCCACTCACTGTGTCTCACTCATTGTATCCCATTTACTGCACCCCACTCACTGTATCCCACTCACTCTATCCCATTCATTGCATCATTCATTGTATCCCACTCACTGCACCTCACTCACTGTATCCCACTCACTCTATCCCACTCAATGCATCATTCATTGTATCCCACTCACTGCACCTCACTCATTGTATCCCACTCAGTGCATCCCACTCAGTGCATCCCTCTCATTGTATCCCACCATTGTATCCAACCCAACACTATTATCCCCAGTTGGCCAGACTAAGAGAGGCAGGGGCCAACTTTTCATTCACAACTCATCTTTAAACCTTTGACGTAAAACCTTCTCGTATTATTCCTCTCTCAGTCAAGGTTGAGAGGGTCGTTCTCAAGCTTGTGAATAATAACTTGTCTAATCTAAGTTTGGATACTGTGATCATGGTATCTGGGTGTGGCTATAGGTGTGGTCATGGTATCTGGGTGTGGCTATAGGTGTGGTCATGGTATTTGAGTGTGGCTATAGGTGTGGTTATGATATCTGAGTGTGGATACTGTGGTCATGGTATCTGGGTGTGGCTATAGGTGTGGTTATGATATCTGAGTGTGGATACTGTGGTCATGGTATTTGAGTGTGGCTATAGGTGTGGTCATGGTATTAAAGAGTTAAAACAGGATAAAAACACGTGACAGATAATACAATGGGACAGGGTCACTAAAGGCGACCCTCAGCCAGCCTGTGTAGTTAAAGGGCCAGCGAGTCACGTCAGGGAGGGTTGGAATGGAGCCAACTTTTGCTTCCATCACCGACGGTCCATTGACGCCCACCGTCTTGGGGGTCCAGTTGAAACCACTACACGAGAACTAGTTTACTTATTGATAAATTAAGAAAAGCGATCTGTGGGTGAGAGAGAGAGAGAGAGAGAGAGAGAGAGAGATTAGGTAAAGATTATACACATCTACGGGAAATAAGGGCATGAAAAGATGAGTGTGTGGAGTTGAGAAGGTGAGTGGGAGGACTGAGTGGGAGGAAGAAGGGATGAGTGAGAAGTGGTGACTGGGTGGGTTAGTGGAGTTTAACACTCTCTTGCTCCTCATTAACGTCACCTCCTACACAGTGCAAATGATTATCACCTTTAATAACCTCATAATTACGAACTATATTATCAAACATTAGTGACGTCGTTAATAGCTCTCGCAACACTAATGATAATCTTTCTTCTATATTATCATCACTACCACCATTACTGCCACCACTACAACCATCACTACCACCACCACTACAACCATCACTACCACCACTACTACCACCACTACCACCACTACAACCATCACTACCACCATCACTACCACCATTACTACCACCACTACCACCACTACAACCATCACCCCCACCATCACTACCACCATTACTACCACCACTACAACCATCACTACCACCACTACAACCATCACTACCACCATCACTACCACCATTACTACCACCACTACAACCATCACTACCACCATTACCATCACGCCTTCCGGGAACATCAGCATTTATCACCATTACTTGAACAACATTATTCTGCTACCACCATATCTTCCAAGACCACCACCCCACCTTCTTTGCAGCAACTGCACCTTCCAGCTACCACCACCTTCTTTCCCTGCCCTTCCTTCCTACCTTCCAGCACTTCCACCTTCAGCACCACCACCTTCAATTTCCTACCACCCTTCCAGCACCACCCCACCCCTTCCAGCACCACCACCCCTTCCAGCACCCCTTTCAGGACCACCACCTTCAGCACCCTACCTTCTTCCCTACCTTTCAGGACCACCACCCTTCCAGCACCACCACCTTGCTTCCTTCAGCACCAACACCTTCAGCACCACCACCACCTTTCAGGACCACCACCCAGCCCAGCACCACCACACGCCCAGCACCAGCACCTTTGGCTACACCACCACCTTTCAAGTTTACTGTAGCACCACCACCACCTTCCTTTAACACCTTCAGCACCACCACCACCTTCAGCACAACACCTTCACTTTACCCACCACCTTTCAGGACCCTACCTTGCTTCTACCACCCCTTTCCAGGACCACCACCTTCAGCACCACCACCTTCAGCTACCTTTGTAGCACCACAGCCCAGCACCACCACACACTCAGGACCACCACCCCTTCAGGACCAACACCCCTTCCAGCATCACCACCACCCCTTTCAGGACCACCACCCCTTCCAGCACCACCACCGCTTCCGAGAACACCATCACTTACCACCAGCCTTTCCCGGAACTCAGCAACAATAGTAATCTGCCATCACCACCAATACCAACAAGCTTTCCAGGAATACTAATAGCTTCCTAAACTCCTGCCAATTTTCTTCTCATTACGTCTTAACCCTCATCATCTTCACCAAACCTTTGCCTATATAACACTGAGTTCCTGTTATATCACACACACACACACACACACACACACACACACACACACACACACACACACAGCATTACGGTCTCCTAGTTTATCAGTGAGACAACAGGAGCCGACCATGAAGTGCTCCCCCTCTCTGTATTTTCCGGATCTATAGTTTTGGACACAGGGAGCTTAAATGTGGTAGGGAGGTGCGGGTGGTAGAGGGGATCGTCGTGCACTGTTTCCTGTCCAAAATGGCAGAGATGATGACGTAGGTTCTGAGACAGTCAATATTGAATATTCGGTTAACTTTGCATACGAATATTATTTTTATTATTTTTTCCAGTTTTGTCTCATTACGTTTCTGGTAAATTAAAACAAAATAATAAGTTCTAAAATTTCACAATAAAATAAATCTTACTTTACAATAAAAACACTTAATTGCTTTTGCTGGAAAAATGATAAGTTCCAAAAATAAACAAAACCATATAAAGAATCATTAGGTTAGGTTACATTAGGTTAGGTTAGATTAGATTAGGTTAGGTTAGATTAAGTTAGGTTAGGTTAGGTGAAGTTAGGTCAGGTTAGTTGAGGTTAAGTCAGAATACATCACATTAAAGCGAGTTACCTACCTAAGGGTGACGCAGTAATTTATGATCGATCTGGGGGCCTGTGAGGACAAAGCTGTAGGAGGCTGTTGTCTTTAGCGAGGACCTGGAGGCGAGCCTTTATGACTGGGGGAGGGAGGGAGGGAGAAGGAGGGAGGGAGGGAGGAAGGAGGAGGGAGGAGGGAGGGAGGAGGGAAGGTGCTTCATCTCACATAACGATAGGAAGTTCATAAGTCTTAGTCTCGTTCTGCATTATTCATTTTATATTTTGTTTTCTGTTTTTGTCTTAAAAGTTCATTCATGACCTTGAAAATTACGTGTTCAAAATATTAATATGAAGTCAAACTCAAAAAGCTTGAAGTTAGATTTGGGATTAGGCCAGGTTAGGTTAGGACAGGTTAGGTTAGGTTAGGTTAGGTTAGGTTAGGTTAGGTTAGGTCAGGTCAGATTAGGACAGGTTAGGTTAGGTTAGGTCAGGTCAGGTCAGGTCAGGTTAGGTCAGGTCAGGTCAGGTCAGGCCAGGTTAGGTCAGGTCAGGTCAGGTCAGGTCAGGCCAAGTTAGGTTAGGTTTGGTCATAACCTAACCTAACCTGTGTGGGGTGAGTGTTGGCCATGTGTTATTTATATCTTAAAGGGGAGAGTGAGGAGGAGGGGAGAGAAAGTAGAGACACACATATATGTATAACAGAGACTACTGTCCGACACACATTATACCAGCGAGTATATTTGTCCGACACACATTATACCAGCGAGTATATTTGTCCAACACACATTATACCAGCGAGTATATTTGTCCGACGTGTGCAATTATGGTGACTCGAAATTCTTTAATAAGTTGCTAATCTGCCCTACCCTAAACCTAACCTAACCTAACCAAACATAACCAAACGAAACCTAACCAAACCAATCATACCCAAACATAACATAACCTAACCAAACGAAAACTAAAGAAACCAGACCAAACGGAACTTAACCAAATGGTGCAGTAATGGAAGCAGCAGTTTAAGTGTCTAGCTAAATAAGTGTTCATGTATCTGTTATTTCTCTTTGGATGTCAGACGTTCATCTCACCTCTCACGGGACAAATGTTCTCTTCCCCCTCACCATAAATGTTCCGATTTTCATTATCTTTCAGCACAAGAACAGATTAAATTGTAATGTTCTCTTTGTGGGTATGAAATCTGAAATCTTGTAACATTAAAGATCAAGTTGTGGGAGGCCTTTTGTCACAAGTGAAATTTAGTTTGTTTGTGTCATTAAAGTTGTAATGTAGTGGATCTACCTTGCTGAGATATGGGTGTTTGTGTAGACTTTATGTCGTCCAAAAGACAAACTCGAATAACGCTCGGCACCCCACAGGCAGGACAGCTAATAGGTAGACAGACTGATAAATACACATTATGATGATGCTTCCTATTTAAACTATATTAGACAGGAAAGAGACAGAAAGAACGAATGCCACCATAACTATATGATGTTCCTCGTCACTCTTCTTCCTCCTACAG